CTTTACCTGAAATGGACTCTTAGATAGGGGAGAATGGGAGTGACAGGCGTTTTCCCTTTTTTCGGTGTCAAAGAAGCCAACCGCACCAGAATTGTGGACCAGACACGGGGCAAAAGAATTGGAGTTGATGTGTCAATCTTGGTGTACCAACACGTATTCAAGACACTCGACTACCAGCAGGCACAATCACTGTGCCATTTTTTGTATACTGATAATGGGCGGCAGCACGACCTTCCTGTTTCTTTTTGGTCGAAGCTTCTTGACAAGGGATTAGGCCTTATACAGAAGCTTGCCGATTCCTATGAGGCCGAAATAATTGTGGTGCTTGACGGAGAGACACCACCGTCTAAGCAACACACCGTAGACGAACGAAAGAGGGCCTCTCTGCAGGCTTACACTGATGCCGTGCATCACCAAATGGCACACGAAGTCCATAAATCGGATGAGGCATATAAGAAGGCCATTCGTGCTCCGAAAGAGTACCTCGGCCTACTTGCCAGGAAGGCAGTTGAGCAGGGCATTCAGGTGGTTGTTGCCCCGTTTGAGGCAGACCATCAGTTGCTCCACATGGTGGCGTGCGGCGACATCGCCTTCATTTGGTCAGAGGACAGCGACTTCATTGTTTATGGAGGTCGGCAACTGCAGAATTTTATCGTTAAACCCACCATCAACAGTGGCCAAGGCCTGGTCATTACGTCAGCTGATATCTTCTGTGTGCACCAGCATGATACCAAGCGGGGCACAAAGTTGTACGACTTCACATACTGGACTCACGATCAGCTCTTGTGGCTGACATGCATGGTTGGTAACGACTACTGCCGGGGTCTTCACGGGATCGCTCTAAAGAAAGGATACGAGCTGATGATGAAGGCGGGAAGCAATGGCATGGCTGTATCCAACATCAACGACCTACTTGCTTTTTTAAGCTCTGCACGCTCGACGGAGCACCAAAAGGCTGAGCTGCAGAGTGGGCAACCAGACGGCCTCTCTTTTGAGGATGGGGTCAGGCGTGCAACATTTGCGATGAAGCATCAGGCAGTGTACAACGTAAATCAGCAGGCATTTGTCAACCGCCTATCTTGTGGTGATGCAGACACTACACCCGATGCTGTTACTGAGCAATGGGCAGGTAGCCCACAGACTGCCCTTGAACGTGTGACTGCAGCAGGAGCTTCACCCCACGGCTACGCACGAGGCGACATGCTGCCTGTGCCACGTTGCTTTGCTGATGTTGCCCCAAGTGTGGTAGTTATGATGACCCCAACAGGGATGCCCACAGACAACTGGTACATGGACGTCGATGTGCTCAAAAAGGGCTACCGGGTTCCTTTCTTGGATGACCTCACCTGTAACCATCACTTCAGTCAGAAAACCGTGAGTGGCACAGCCACTCCACGTGGTGCTGGTGCAACCCTCTTCAAGGGGGCAATAAGGGCATCCAGCATGCACTCTGCCATGTTATTGGATGGGGGACGAAAAACAAGCTGTCGATGTCCGTATTCCTGTCCGGCAACTGCCCCTCCATGGAAGATCAGCAAAGGGATTGAAAAGAGCCTTTCAAAGAGCATACCCAACTACCGGAGAGTCGTCGGCAGCACAGGACAACCGTAGAGGTACTTCCGACAAGGAGCCCCCACAGAGGAGGGCCTATAGGTCTAGAGCTATTACAGCCGAAGCCCTGAACAAGGTTCTTGACAAGGCTGCCTTTAATGAGGCTCGTATTGCAATGAATGCTCGTGGTATTAGTGTATGGGGCAAGGCTGAGTAGTTTCCCATCTGCAAGTTACCGTCAGGATACGGGGGCTGCAACTGAGTTTCGTTCATTGAGTACAATTAATTGTTCATCACAGAGTAACTATACTCAATTGAACCCACATAAACATAGCGAGTAATGTATTGTCAGTCTCTGTCAGTCTCTTTCCTTTTCTTCTGTTTCCTCCTTCCTCTTCCCCTTTTCCCCACAATTCCTTTTCCATTTCTTGGTTGTGTGTGTGTGTGNCCTCATCTGAAACCTCATTTACACTCTCTGTCCCATTAGAGGCAGCTTCCATCTCTTCTGCAATCAAAGGGGGCATAAGGTTGGTGAGAAGACAGCAGACGGTAACACAATCCCCAAATATCCTAAACTGATCAACCCTAACAGTTTCTGTCAACCATCTGAAAGTCTTCACTCTCTGAATTCCACGCTCGACATGAATACGCAACTTTGCTACACAGCGTGTATGTGCACATTCATGCTCTGTGAACCTTGCCGCATTCTTTTTCTTAAATGGGGGCTGATGGCACACCATGTGCATGCTCTCGAGCTTTTCCTTAATGAGTGCACCTCTATCTGTCATCACCGCCTGCCCATTATGCAAAAGATTGTACATATCTATGGCATCAATAATATTTTCGTCACTAGCACCACCTGGGAATGCATCACTAGGGGCAATAAAGCGCAGGTTGGGAAGCATCATGAACATGATCTTGAGTGTGTACCTTTGCTTGTACTGTGACCAGAAAACAGACCGTGTGTGGTTGTCTGATAAAATTTGTGCAACAAACTCAGAGGCGTCGATAATGAGGGCAGTGTCATTGTACAAATGTGCCTCTTTGAAAATTTTGTGTGCCATGCTTTTGACCTCAGGTGGGCTAGGCATAGGAAACATCTTTGACAGGACAGCCATCAGGAGAGGAATACGAGTCAGAAAGATAATGGACACCTGTTGCTGGCTGATGTCAAACAGGTAGCCCACATGCTCTTCCAGCCAGCCACACCTTAAAGTGCAAATGGTGAGGAAGATCTCTTCCTCCCAACCTAGCCTGCTTGGCCTGCCAGGGCCCTGTTCACCCTCGGAGAATGTGCAATCACGATTTTGCTTACTGGCACCACAGGCACTGCAGAAATCCAGGAATGGCTTAAATACGTCCCAGGTGAGCCCTGTGTAGGCTCTGCAAAGCTCATCATTGTCCCTAACCATGTCAATGGAGAAACGCTGAATTCTTGGTTTTTCTGTGGCAGCCGCCTTTTCTCTTCGCTCATTCAGAACGAACGACATCCTCTCCTTCATGAGCTGCTGGATCCGTACTTTCTGGTCGGCCATGATGGGCTGTAGCTCGCTCACCAGGTTACTAAGAGCATAGACTTTCTGCATCTCGCTTTCAAGATGTGCCAGGGCCTCAGACAGCTGCTCCTCCGTTGATTTAGGAGGAGGCACCGGCATGTCTGCTGCAGGTATTGCGTTTCTAAGGGGCTCGATTGTGGAGGCAGCCCCCTTTCTGGGTGACCTTCTTATGGGGCCCCCAGTGCTTTTGCTGGCGACTTTCTTTGCATGCAAGGCCCGTTCTTGGTTCTCTGTCATCGGGGCTGTGCCTTTCACCAGCTTGCCTTTGCTGTCAAAAGACCCATTGGGAAAGTGTGCTTTGCAGACAACAAACCGGCGCCAATGCCCCTTGTCCGATTTGCTCATTGCAAAATCCAGGTAGCTCTTGTCGTAGCCACGGCCAAGCTTGGTCAGTCATTCGCGCCGTAGAGCAGCATTTGCCTCAGTGCTAGGAACCGGGATGTCTATCATGTTGCCCTTTTCCCTCATTGCCACACACCCAGCTTTGCAACATGTGTCAGGCATTTTCCGTGGTTTCTCGGCCTTTGGCCGTGGGTTAAGCAGCCACGAGACTCACTGGATTTGTGACAGTTAGACCGTGCACGCATGGCATGCTATCTTGGGTTCAAATAGTGTCAAAAAATGTTATCGAGCAGTGCCACGCTGCACGCACGGAAACAAGCTTTACGGCAAGGACAGTAGATATTGATAAACCAAAACTTTAATATAAAAATGTGCCCAAATTTATTTTGCTTTTAAGCCCTTATCACCCTGTTGCAGCGCAAAGGTTGTTGGACTTCGAATTCATTTTCTCCAGTCTCTTTGGTGCACCACACGCTGGGCGTATTGTTCGTGCCTCCACGTAACAAAAGCAAAAGAAAGAAAAGAAAAAGACTGTCAATGATCATAACTGTAAAACGTAGTGTGGATTATATTTTTGTGCTTTAACCGTACCTAATATGCCAACGCGAAAGTGTTTAATTCGTTTTGTCGGCATTGTTGAAGCTGGCCGAAGTGCGATGCTTAACTTCGTTGGATGGCCGATC